TTTCTAACAGTGCAGATGTTCTTGTTTTTCATTTTCTGTCCAACAAAATTTCAGCAGGTAACAAACCCTGCTTCATTGATGTTATTCTGTAATTTAACAGTGCTAAATACAGATGAGTCTGACTCCACAGCTTTTTTCAGTAGGTGCTTTATTATTTTGATACTGTTTCCCACCAACTCATTGGATTGGGGATAATGGAGACTAGTGGTTACATGTCTAAACCTGTACTTCACTACAAAATACTTAAACTCATGCCCACTAAACTGTGCCCCATTGACTGATACTACTATGTCAGGTATACCATATACTAGCAAAAACAGATTTGATAGGCACAATCACCTATTTAGATGTAGTATCTTCTAGTAGGACTATCTCAGGAAAGTGAGAATAATAGTTTAGGACAAATACATAGTTTTTTCTAGCCAACATAAACAAATCTATGCCTGCTTTGCTCCAGAGGGTCAATTTTTCCTGTGCCAATAGCGTGGTCTCTTTCACTTTACTGGGCCTGTATTTTTAGCATACGTAACAAGCCTTAACAGCTTCCTCTATGTTGCTGTTCATTTGAGTCCAGTATAAAATGGCTCTGTCCAGTTTTAATTGGCTGTGTGTAACAACAAGAGTTTCACAGCACCCACCCACACTCTGGGAAGCTCAGCCCTTAAAGGCATAGTCGCTAGTACCACAGGTCCCACATGAGCTATCCCACTATTTCTCTTAGTTTAAGTTTATTCTAGTGTTTGGTCCCCTGTTGATAGATACTGAGGGCTAAATTCAGATGTTGAAGTAAGTAGATACAACTACTCAGACTTCAGCAGAATTGCATATGCGTATCCCAGGTCTGATTATGATCTAATATCTTTGTATGTTACTTTTTTCACATTACTGTAAAGAACTGAAATTTATTTGAAATAACTTATTTTACAGGCGAGAGTACAAATATGTTGAGGACATGATTGCAGATTTCCAAACAATAATATTAATAATAAAAAAAAATCTGCTCTCCTATTGATCCAAATGAATGTTGAAAACATTACTATGGCAACAATTCTTACTTAATGGAAGAAGCATGGCATTATCTATGCATGGGAATTAAATAGGAAGAGGTGTTTTTCAATGTGTTCCCCCTACCCACCCACTACAGATGTGCTGACCTTCTGACATCAGCTCTTGCTGCAGGAAGTTTCTATTAAATAAAACTTAGGGAATTATTCATTGGCTCATGCCCAGTGAATCAAGAAATACTATTGACCTCAAACACTCTGTCACAGAAGACAACATGGCATGGAATTCACATTTTCTGAAAGAATCAAGCATCTTTCTTGCATTTAAAGCCACCAAGTTTATCATTGTGAATAAAACAGACATGTTGACAGGTCCATTTTAGTGATGTGTGTATTTTGGTTATGTGCAGTTACAAAACTATGAAAACACCAATGATTAGCTAAAGAAACTCTGTGAAAGATCCATGTTTGTTGTACTCTTTATGTGAATGAGTGAGGATTTATGGTAAAAATACAAATTGTTTTTGTTCCCTCCTCTAATAGTGGCAATAAGAGTAATAAAATAAGCAAGAAACTACTTTGCATTATGTGGCTAAATAGGTCTGTCAAATACAGCCTGAGCGCTAACCAAGAGCACTAATGAAGATAGGGATATTTATAACACTTCACAAGCCTTGTACTTCCTGAAGGTGTCAACTTTACCTGGGGTGTATCTCTCCCCCTCAACACCCATGTGGGCACCTGTAAGGAAAATACAACTCTGACCACTCGTGTATCTGCTGCTTCTATGATCCTGGGGTGGTGGTGGCTGCTATGGGCCCAGGAAGATACTTTTCCCCTTCCTATAACTGGCTGGGGAGAGAGAAAGTATTAAGTGAGGTATGGTGCCAGTGATAAGAGCAGAGCCTGGAAGAAAGCTTCCAAACACCCATTCCACTGTAGAAATGCTTTTGTTACTGTCCTGGTGATGGAGAAGTGAGGAAGCAGTTGCAATCTCTTTCAAAGATGTTCATTTGCCAGCCCCTTTCCTGTTGGGGCAGCCCAAGGTGCAACCAGCCATGAGAGCAGTACAGGTAGGTGTGGCAAACCCACTATTTGGCAATCCACTGTGCTCCTCCATGGAGTCACTAGCGAGTGAGTAAGGGGAGTGAGGAGAGCAGATTCTTGCACACTGACCTTACTTAGGAGGGACACCCTCTATTTTTGAGCAAAATATTTAGCTTTTTTCTTGGTCTCTTCAAAAAGCTTTCCTAGGTCTGTATATTTCATTGGTGTTACGTGGTCTTATTTTAATTCCATTATGTCCTCATTATAACTTTCAAATGGTGTCCCATCTGGAAGAGATGAAAAATAAGGAGGATTAGGAAAAGTAAGAGACAGCATGGGGAATAGTTAGACACAAGTTTATGGAGAGGATAGACACTCAGTATTTGTGGGGGTGCAGTGCAGAAATGGAATAAACTTCCATACTAAAGAATAATATTGACATAAAGCATGCTAGCTAGCCACCCACTAGTTCTCTGCAGTTTACTCTGTGTCCATTTTAAAAAAATCTGGGGTTTTTGGTAAGATCCTAAAAACTGAGCTCCTGTTTACTCTGTGTGGACATTAAAAATCCACTTATGTGAGAGCAGTGGTTTTCCTTGCCACCATCTCAAAATTGTCATTTGTTCTATGCACCAGTTGTTCTCTGTCCTCCACACCAGAGGTGCATTGCATTGGCACTGTATTGTAAAGTGCTTTGAAAGGATGAAAGAATCAAAATGTAGAGTGGGAGATGACCTATTAATTCGTCTAATTTATCATTTCACTGCCTCCAGAGGATTATTCCTTATTTCACATTTAGTTATGTTTTCCCAATCTAGTTTTAAAAGTTCCACTGGGTGGGACTTGAAGCTATAGAATATATCCTTATCATTCTGACAATATAAACTTTGTATGCAGCGTTGTTGTAGCCGTGTTGGTCCCAGTATATTAGAAAGACAAGGTGGATGAGGTAATATCTTTTATTGCACCAACTTCTATAGGTGAGAGAGACAGCTTCTGAGCCACTCGGAGCTCTTCTTCAGGTCTGGGAAAAGTACTCCGAGCGTCACAGCTAAATGTAAGGTGGAACAGATTGTTTAGCATAAGTAGTTAGTGCATATTCTAAGGGACCACTCTACTCTTTCCCTGACCTGAAGAAGAACTCTGTGTGGCTCGAAACTTTATCTCTCTCACCAACAGAAGTTGGTCCAATAAAATATGTTACCTACCCACTTTATCTCTCTAATATAAACTTTGAAAATCTTATGCATTTGGTGGAATAGGCAATGCCGCTCCACTCATCAAATCAAAATCTTGCAGTGCTCTAAGCTCCCCAGAGTGAAATTCCTGTCCCCATCACTATAGTAAATGAGAGCGTACCATGTATTTTTAAAAAGTAATAAGCTCTCTTCCTTCCTTCCTTCCTTCCTTCCTTCCCAGCCCATAGGATAAATAGCTTCATCAGTTCACAGGAATTTTGTTTGTTTGCTTGTTTATGTTTGTGCGTGTGAGTGAGTGGGTGTTTTGTGTATCTATATGTGTGGGAAGAAAGTATTGCGGGAAAGCTAAATTGAAATAAGATTTGCATTTCATTCCGAAAGGGATGTGATCTCTGCTCATTCTTGTCTCTTGCAAGAGTTAATACCATAGTCTTGGTCCAGCTTCTTTGAGAGTTCTATCTCCTGCACTCACAAGTCTCCTATTGTTTGAGTTTCATCAGTCCAGTGAAACACACATGTCAATGGAGGTCCTGGTTGCTGAGGGAGACACTCTTTTTTAAAAGTAGCTTGGGCCAATTCCAGACAAGGTTTTGAGCATCAGGACAGAGACCTTGAGCTGGACTCTATTCAGTGTTAAGACCAGAGCACTAAGGACACGTGTTCATTGTGGCCTGTGATGTTAAGATGCATTGGGTACTAGTTGGCCAAAATCCCCGATCTCCTTCAGAACTGTTGTTTTGCACACCTGCTATCTATATAGCTGTCATCTTTCTACCCCAGATGTGGCTGCATTTCAGCAGCGCTGCATGTATGTAGCTTGTAAAGGGCTTTGGGATACTTTGGGTTGACAGGTGCTATCGAAAGGTAAGATACTATTGTAAGTATTTCTATTAGGAATAGGCCTGAAGCAGAACAATGAATACAAACTCTTTTCCTCCTGAAGTTTGGGGAAGTGCTCTATGGGAATAATTCCATATACAGATTGTGTTACTGAGGCCTATCTGTAATGAGTGTCCTCAACATTCAGGCAGCACAAAGTTTGTGGTCCACATTTTCAGAAAGCAGGGCTTTGAGGTCCATGCACACAAATACAGGATTGATGCCATAGATGTACACACCAGTTAGTATTTGGGCATCATGGGCCAGAGTCTGCTCTCATTTGGACTAATTTAAATCTGAGTAGACCCGGCCCCCTACATGTTAGGGTGGGACTGAGAAGGAGGGCTGCTCCGGATGCTGTGACAGTCTGATGGCCAGCGGATCTGGGCGGCTGCCTGGGGAGAAGGGGCAGCAAAGGTGGCATTGCCTGGGTGCTGTGAGATGGAAGAGATGTCTGTGAGTGAGGTGCAATGGAAAGGAGGCAGAGAAGGAGGTTCTGGTGGGGGGTGCCCAGCCAGGAGGGAAGGGTAGAGAAGGGTGGGGATGTTTTTTGGGGTGCCAGGTGGAGAACAAGGGACAGGGGAAGGGAGTCTGTGGGGCAGGGTGAGGGGACTGAGGACATGGAGGATGGAAAGAGGATCGGGGGGACCACACAGTGGGCGGCGGGGAGCGGGGGTGACTCCTGGCACCATCATGCAGAGGCAGGCGCGCGGAGCCCGCCCCCCGCCCGCCTGGCTTGGCGGCTGCTCCGAACGCTGAGCCGGCCCTTTGTGACACCTCAGGGGTTGCCGGGCTGCGGCGGCGGGTTGCACCGGGGCGGCTCGGCGCTGGGCTCAGGACTCGGGGACGGCCACTCGGAGCGCGGCGGAGGATGGGGCTGCGGGCGGCCGGGGACGCGGGGCGCCTCGCCCTGCGCCTGGGGCTGCTCCTGAGCCTGCTGGCCCAGCAGCCCGTGAGCGCCAAGAACGACAGCGGCTCTGCCCTGGAGCAAGCCGTGGTGGAGCCGATAGTGCAGCTGTTAGAGCCGGGTGAGGGGAGGGGCCGGACCGACGGGGTCCTGCAGGGTGGGGTGGGGTGGGCAGCAGGGTGCCAGGCAGGGTGATGGGGTCTGTGGGGTGCCAGGCAGGGTGAGGGGATGTCAGGGGGTGCTAGAGAGGATGAGGGGGGAGTGTCTATGGGGTGCCAGGCAGGTGAGGGGGGGTGTCAGTGGGGTACCGGGGTGACTGTGGGGTGGCAGGCAGGGTGATGGGGTCACCAGGGTGAGGGGGTGCCATGCAGCGGGGATGGTCCCTGGGTGCTGAGGACAAGCAGGATTTCCCCTGAGCACGCTAGGAGTGGGGAAGTGCAGAAAGGCTCCCTGGCCCCCTTTACCTTCACCAGGAGGGAGCCTGGCTCCCCTGGTGCATGGAGAGTAGTTCATATCATATGCCAACAGTGGGAAGATATCCTTGTTCATTCATGATTTATCAAGTCACAGAGTTTCTAAGGGGCCCTCCTAAAGGGGGAGCAAGGGAAATTCTAGATTTACTTGTGATTCTTGTAGCTGAACAGTGTGGGCTAAAGGAACGTGTTGGGTACACGTAAACTCCCTCACAGTCTGTTAGTTCATTGAGCAATGAGACACCTAAGTTCACACCTAGTGTGTCATTAGGCACAAGGCCAACTACGTAATGAATTGTATTCCTTCCTTCAGCCATCTAAAAGTGGACTTTTCCTTTTACAGAATTTCATCTGTCTCCTTGTCCAGATAGGGTTATCTTATTTTTCCCTACCACATCATTTTTCATACTGTGTTTATCCCATTTCCCTGCTCAGATATAACCACTCTCAGTGTCATTACAGAAATTGCCTATCAGGGATCACGAGGGATCAATGCAGCCAGCTGCTTTGACTACAAAACCTGAGTTCCAGCAGTCCTGGAACTAGGAATGAGAGTGTTAAGGTTACCCCCTGGATGCTCAGGCCTCATGCAGTGTAGTGGAAAATATTGCTAATAAGCCACAATAAGAGTAAAACATTTAAAACACGAATGAGTGACTTTCTCTATTAGTTCACTTCACAGGCATGACTTGGAACAACCTCTATTGACATTCTCAAATAGGATTTTTAAGTATTTATCAAAATGTACTATGTGCATCCTGTGACGTGACTTGTAATGAAAAGAGAAAATAATGGAAACAGTTTCTGCTCTGCATGGTTTATACCAGATTCCAGATGTAGAGAAGAACCTGAGATGTCTTTGCTTTGCTGGTACTAATTTCAGCCCTATGACTAGAATGTAAATATATATATTATTTTAGCATAGTCTCATCTCAGTTTGTGTGAGATTTACATATATAACTCCTATTAATGCTAGTGGAAGTTATATACATAAATCTCTTTGCATAGGGATGATGCTATACCTTTTTAATCAGTGTCCGATACAAAATGAAAAAGGCATACATAAATGTACAGATCAATAGGGTTTTTTTCTGGGGAGATTTCTCAAATTTTAGATTGGTTTAAAAAATCTAGGGAGGAAATTCAAGAAAAAAAGAGGTGAGATTGCATCATAACAATGATATGTACAGTTTTATATCATTACGTTTGCTCCTGTTCCCCTTAAAGATTTTGTTATTTGTTTTTGTTTTTCTTGGCTTTTTTTTTTTCCAAATTCACTGACAGCAGGATTGAGTCCATTGTCAGTTATTTCTGATTGGCATGCTAATTTAGAATCAATCAGTTTTCAGTGTCTAAATATGTTTAAAAGTTTAGTTGGAATAGTATTTGAAAATAAAAAAATCCTTTTTCTGATTTAGGGTTATTCATCTCTTATGAACAAATCACCATTGTAAGTTTAAAAACATAAGAATGACCATTTCAAGTCGGACCAAAGGTTCATTTAGCCTAGTATCCTGTCTTCAGACAGTGGACAGTGCCAGATGCTTCAGAGGGAATGAACAGAACATGGCAATTTTGAGTGATCCATCCCCAATTGTCCAGTCCAAGCTTCTGGCAATTGAAGGTTTAGGGATGCCCAGTGCATGGGATTGCATCCCTGACCATCTTGATTAATAGCTATTGATGAACCCATCCTCCATGAACTTATCTAATTCTTTTTTTAACGCAGGTATACTTTTGGCCTTCACAACAGACAGTGGCAACAAGTTCCACAGGTTGACTGTGTGTTGTGTGAAGATGTACTTCCTATTTTTGTTTTGAACCTTCTGCTTATTATTTCATCGAATGACCCCTAGTTCCTGTGTTATGTGTTATGTGAAGGGGTAAATAACACTTCGCTATTCACTTTCTCCACGCCATTCATGATTTTATAGACCTCTATTATACCCCCCTTTAGTCATCTCTTTTCTGAACTGAACAATCCCAGTTTTTTTAATTTCTCCTCGTATGGAAGCTGTTTCATCCCCCTAATCCTTTTTATTGCCCTTCTGTGTATTTTTTCTGATTCTAATATATCTTTTTTGAGCTGGGGTGACCAGAACTGCATGCAGTATTCAAGGTGTGGGTGTATCATGGATTTCTGTAGTGGCATTCTCGTATTTTCTGTTTTATTATCTATCCCATTCCTAATGGTTCCTAACATTCTGTTAGCTTTTTTGACTGCTGCTGCACATTCAGCAGATGTTTTCAGAAAACTGTCCACTATGACTCCAAGATCTTTCTTGAGTGGTAACAGCTAATTTAGATCCCATCATTTTGTATGTATAATTGGGATTGTTTTCCAATGTGAATTACTTTGCATTTATTAGCATTGAATTTTGTCTGCCATTTTCTTGCACGGTCACCCAGTTTAGTGAGATCCCTTTGTAAATCTTTGCAGTCATCTTTGGACTTAATTATCTTGAGTAATTTTGTATCCATTGCAAATTTTGCCACATTTCTGTTCATTGCCTTGTCCAGATAATTTATGAATATGTTGAATAGTACTGGTCCCAGGACAGATCCTTGGGGGACCCCACTGTTTACCTCTCTCCATTGTGAAAACTGACCATCGCTTTCTACCCTTTGTTTCCTATCATTTAACCAGTTACTGATCCACGAGAGGACCTTCCCTCTTATCCCATGACTGCTTAGCTTGCTTAAGTTTGTGACAAAAGAGTCATAATATATTTTATAATGATGCTACTGGATTGAGGGAAGCCTCCTGAGAGGATAGCATAGTTGATATCTGCCCCATAGTTAGAGGAAGTTTGCTTGCTTTGGGTAGTAAGGTTGCTCACCTTTTGTTAGTAATCTCTGAATCTGTTGGGTCCCTGGCTGCTCTTAAACCAAGTAGTAGCAGTGACCAAAATCCATTTTTTCATTTGTATTTGGATGGGAGATTGCAACCTCTCCTTTCAGATGTGACCACACCTTGCCACAGTTGCCAGATCTGGTCATCTCTAGATTGGACGACTGTAATACGTAGACTCTGGGGTAGACACCTTGGGTAAAAAAACTGCATCTGGCCCCAGTCGGCTGACTCTAGCTCACACCTTGGGTGAGGGTGGAGGGGCCCAGAGCTTGGGCTCCAGCCTGAGCTTGAGCATCTACAGAGCATTTTTAGCCCCACAGCCTGAGCCCTGCAAGCCTGAGTCAGCTGACCTGGCCAGCCGCAAGTGTGCCGTGAGTCTTTTACGCCTTGTCGCGGTTCCTCAGCTAGTGTAAATTGTCATGGCTCCATTGAAATCAATAGAACTATGACAATGTACACCAGCCGAGGATCTGCCCTCCAGTTTTCCCAGTTCTCTAACATGTTTTATTTCTGTCCCTATGAACGAGAATAAACCATTTTATAATATAGGTTGATCACAGCCACATTTAAACATGTTTACATTAGTATTATAGATGGGATCTTGGAAATCTCCCTTTCTATTATGCTGTGGTGGCTGAGATTAGCCAAAGCTCTTGAGCTAATATCCTACAGATTTAAATGAGGTGGGGGGAGGGAAGGCACTGAAGGCATGGTGTCTTAAGTTATGGACCATCTCTCTGTTTTCACATGATTTTGCATGAGGTGATACTGACAGAATCTATTTTTTTGTAAATTCCTCCCTTTCTGGTTGGAGAGAGTTAATAATAATGAACTAAATTGTGAAATTATTCTTTAAATATTGTTGTACATGTACTAAAAGGGTTTTCTGATTAGTACAGCTTATATATTGAAATAAATCACAAAGTCATAGTGACAGTTAGGAATAGCACAAGTGTAGAATTATGAAGTTTCATGAATAATGTTGGAAAAGAGGTTATAAGAGTTTGATATCAATTTATGCCTACTACCACTGTAGTGTTAATCCCTTACTGTTGAGTAAGGAAGGCTATTTTATATTTGTGTATCACTGACTGCTAGTGGAAAGGACCCACTCATTTTTCAACCAAAGAAATGTTATGTAAAGTTTTAACAGCTTAAAAGAAGAGAAATATAAACTCGCATTACTGAATTAACATAACATTTTGTGTAGAAGAGATTCCAAAACAAAAAAATGAGGAATAGAAAAAGTAAACTTTGCATTTATGGTATTTATTATCATAACAACATATTTGGAGTAGGATAGACTGATTATGTAGACTTGTAAAAACAGCCATAATAAATCGTCTTTGTCCCTTTGCATTTTAGAAGATTAAAAAGACTTATTGCCTGTTTAATGAATTGTTTTCAAAGACACTGCATAAAGTTGTTTAATTCCTCTATTGATCAGTTACTTTTTCTTAGCATCCTTATACACATTCAACTTGCATGCTAATATTAATAAAATATATCATCCATATTTGAATCCCAGATGGAGATGTGAACCTTTTGCTTCTGCATAATTTGCAAAACCCATTTCCTAGCCTGAGAAGTACCAGAAAAATGGAAGAAGCCAAATCATAGTGGTTAAAACCACAATAGTTAATTAGAAGACTGTACCTGGTTGATTCATTGCTTGTGCTAGCTGTCTAAAGCTGACCTTAAAGTGTGATGGGGGGAAAAAAATCATGTGGGAAGGCTTGTATTTGCCAGAAAGAACTAGGAAATGAGTTGATTGAAATATTGTTTATAGAGAATTTTGCTTAACTCTTTTAAGGGAAGACCTATATTGTGCATAGGTACTTTGTACTTCTCAAGGTATTCAGTAAATCAGTGGTTCTCAAACTGGGGGTCTTGACCCCTCAGGGGATCACAGGTTATTATGTGGGGGGGTTGCGAGCTGTCAGCCTCCACCCTAAACCCCGCTTCACCTCCAGCATTTATAATAGTGCTAAATATAAAAAAAGTGTTTTTAATTTATAAGGGGGGTCACACTCAAAGGCTTGCTGTGTGAAAGGGGTCACCAATACAAAAGTTTGAGAACCACTTCAGTAAACTAATTTAACATAGTAGGTTGACTTATAAGGAAAATGCATAATATTTTCTCAAAAATGAGATTAAGATTTAAATATTAGTTATTTGCTCTTGGTTTTCTGAAAAGGACTAGGGAAGACTTCAAGAAGTGAATTTCCTGGTAATTGGGTATTCCTCCCCGCTCCCCCACACACCCTCCAAGAAGGTGTCATATTAGAAATGTAACTTCAGACTTTGTGTTTAGGTTTGAATGCTACAGTATCCAAGGAAGTAGAATTTGGAATGTGCACAGTGACGTGTGGTAAGTAGCAAAGCAGATGAATAAAGCATATTGTAATTTGTTTTTGGGAAAAAAGTGCTAGCTGTAGCAATTTAGCAGGTGTAATTTGCTTGCTCTCCTTCACCTCTCATTGATTTCAATTTCCAATAACTATAATTAACAAAAACAATCAAGCTGATTGTCATTAGAAGTTTAGGTCAGATCTGTTGTTTTATTAATTTCACAGCCTGCAAGCTCCTATTTTAAACCAGTTCCCTACATTTATTGGCACATGAGCTGCCTTCACCAAAGTAACAATTTTCTCTATTTGTGAACATCTGTGAGATGTTCAGAAGATGAAAGATCTTCTGATGCATCTCACAGATGTCTTCCCACATACAGTATTGCCAGCTCTATCAAAACATTGCTCATCTGCAGTAGTCTATTCTATATTCCACATTTATATAATTTATAAACGATGTCATGGAAAGAAGAGGTATCCTGGAGAAAGATAGGATGAAAATTCAGCACATAGAATCTCAGAATTTTTGCTTCACCCATCTGGTGAAAACTTGACATATTGCAAAGAAGACATCTGTGGTAATAGGGGCCGGAATGGAGTGGCACTGCATTGCTTAGAAAACACCCATTTAGCAGAAGTTTCAGAAATAGTATTGAAATTGTTTTGAACAGAATCTGTCTCTCATAGTATCATAGTACCTGGAAACAAGAAGGGAGGAGGGGAACCAGCAACTTTCAAATCAATTAGTCCATTCCCCAGCCAATATGGTATTATTTCATACATTACATTCTCTAGTATTTTTTTCCTGACTAGTTCTGAATGTTGCAAATGATGGGGCTTCCACTACTGCCCTTGGGAAACTATTCCACACGCTAATACATCTTGATCTCAAAATGTCTTTTTTTCTGACATTCAGTTTAATTATTCCCTTTCTTAATTTTGTCATTTACTGCTGGTTATACACCTCACTTCCCCTCATTATGAGCCATCCTAAATAATCTAATTTTCTTTCATGCTTGCACCCTTAAGATATTTAAAGACTGTTATCATGGCCCACCTCTTCAGTGGACCTCTCAGATGTCCCTCCATTTGAGGGACTTAACTCAGTTTAGTCCCAAAGTTACCTGTGTTCCCAACAAATGTGATGTCCCTTCACTTTTATTGATGTCAATTATTTAAATCTTAAATAAATAATCATCAGTTAGAGGTTGGATGAAGGATTATTTACACTAAAGGCCATTCCCCATCATTTTGAATTTGGATATTATTTTGTGTCCCTCATTTTGGGTCTCGGTCACTCATTAGATACAATAGTTGGATGTTGGGAGGTTGAAAGGTATTCCCTCCAGTCCATGCAGCCAAACTATACACATTTAACTTTCTTAATCTTTATTTATAAATTCATCCCTACATCCCTCAGTAATTTTGGTTGCTGTTTGAACTGCCTCCAGTTTCTCAATATCTTTCTGGTAATGTTGTGGCCAGAATTCAATATTCCTGATGTGGTTATACCACAGCTTATAGAGAAATCATAAAGCCTTATTTCTTCATAATAATGATGCTCGTTAATATTTTGGTCAATTCTGCATTAGTCTTTTTTGCTGCCGTGTCCCAATAAATTGATGTCTAATTTTTCTGTCTACTATTACCTCTAGGTCTCTTTCATCATTTGTATTTTCCTTCCCATTGATATTTACTTTTTGTATTATTTTTCCCAGCTGTATTATTAACTTGCATTTTTCCAAGCTCCATGTTTCTAATCTTTCTAATTTAACATGACCACGTTTCCATCCGAGTTAATTTGAATAACTCTTTAAAATAAGACTTCATTTGACAGAGTATTGCAGTAGATTAACTTCTGCAGAGTTGGCAGCTGCTAATAGGGAGGGGAAAAGGGAAACAAGTTTTCTGGGAATAGAAGACAAAACTGGTCAAAATAGAGAGGCAGGGAAGTACTGAAATGCCCTACAGGTCTCAGGATGGGGTTCTTTTAGTCAACTCTTTGACTTTGATAGGGTGCCACAGTTTTAATATTCAGGTAGTTAAAACAGGCATGTTCTTTCCTACTAAACGTGACCACAGTTAGCTCAGCATCCGGATTTTTTCAAACCAGCCATTTTGATGTTCATAGGTTTTCTGCTCACCCCCTCCCCCCCGCCCCTGTTTTCCCAGACAGCCAGACAACAAAAAGACCTAGTTCTAAAGTAAGAGGAATGTCTTTAATAAAAGTGTCAGTTCATTGTCATTTACACCTCTGTCTCTGCATCCTTGAGATGAGACATTCTCAGCAGTGGAGAATGATCCCTGTTTTCTGACAGCTTCAGTAAGCGTTGTTGTCTCTCTCTCTGTCACTTGAAGTATTGTTTCATGAGCTGTATGTCATCTGTGAAATATTCTAATATCTATCAGTGTGTATCATACACATTTAAAGGAAGCAGATACATCACAACAAATTATTCTTCACATCAGTGGGGTTAATTCAGCATTCAAATCAATTTCCCATTTATCATACTGCAGGAGGGTTTTAACTCCCCTTTTCCCATGCCCCTGCAGTTTAGTAAACAACATGCTGCTAGAATAATGGCAATTTCTTCAGTGTTTACTGGGCCTAAACATACTATTCCCTCCACCCCCACACCCTATGTCATTTCAGTGAACTGTGTACACATTGTTTGGCAAAAATAAATATAGCATTTGTTTTGAATTTGTAATGGTTAAAATGAGGCAGTGTTCCCATTGAAATACTGATGTTTGAGAGTAAATACATTTTATTTAATTGAATTTTATACAGACATTTCCCTTAACCTTCAATATTTATGATTGCCGACTTCCCCTCCTTATCTTCAGTAGAACCCTCCATGTCTTAGGTGGAGTTATGAGGGTCAAAATGAGGAGGTCTGAATGGGATCCACTTCAGAGCCTGTCAGTGTTGTTCCTTAGCCAGCCAATACTGGTTACTGTTAAGTGATTCAAGGCTCTCCTTCTTCTAAGAGGATCCTATTCTATAAGGTGCTTAGCACACTCAATCCCTGTTGACATCAGTGGGAATTAAAGGTGCCCAGTACACTGCAGGGTCATGGTCAGAGTGGGAAGGCTATCTCTACCATGCTCCCAGCACCAGCTGACTTGGGCACTGAAAGGCCATGTTCATGAATACTGCTAGTCAGCTTTGATGTTTGATTCGCTGTTTTGTTTTTTAGCAGTATACAGTATATTTCTGTTTATCCAAAACCCGATTATCCAAACCTTTGCATTATCTGAATCCCTTCCTTGTCCCCCAGCATGAGATACAGGAAATACATGCCCTCTGTAGCATGTATCTTATGCAGGGGATGAGAAAGGGGTTCAGTAATGTGGAGGTTCATATAATAGAGTAGAGACCCCAGCCAGGACTATTAGGAGGTGTAGTAGGACTAGCTCCTGTCTACAGGGGAGGCGACTCTGCTGGTGAATGACTCCTGCGGCAGCACAGGGAGTCCTTTGCAACCCCACTGTCATGAGAGTGAGTGAGTAGGGCTGTGACAGCAGTGCTGCAGAGAGAGGTCCCTTTGCTGCTGCAGGCCCAGTGAAACCCAATCCCTGCAGGCACAAGGTGTGAGATGGGTGGGCGGGGAACCTGTAGTCCTGGTGGGACAGAGCAGAGACCCCCAGCCAAGACTGCAAAGAGAAGAAGGAGGCCGAGCCCTCAGTCTCAGGGGAGGCCACTGGTGCCTGGATGGCTCTTGATTATCCAAACAAAATCCGTGTCCCACATGCTGTTTGGATAATCTGGAGTATACCATATAAAATTTAATTGTATTTTGAATTCTTCTAAAAGGAGTATATTAAGAATGACTTTTTAAGAATGTGACATATTGACTCTGAGGATCTGTGTGCTTTACAGGACCTTAGGTGATGAAAGTGGGCAGAAGTAAGTGTTGTCAGCCAAATCTTAAGCACAAATATGGGATAGCCTTGGCAGAAGCTCTGAGAGGATCTGTTTCTCTGGATGTATGGTAGATAAATTAGTTTAGCATCCAATATAAAGAGGGAGAAGGCAAAAAATGTTGGAAGAAAAAGAAGAAATGGAAACTAAAACATATTTTTAAATTTTTTTTGCAAAGGTATTGGCATTCGAGAAGTTTTATTAACCAACGGGTGCCCTGGAAGCGAAACAAAATGTATTGTTCGTGTAGAGGAATGCAGAGGACCAGTAGATTGTGGATGTAAGTAGAATACTATGATATAGGAATTTAGAGTGAATGTGTTTATTCAAGGGAAACATCCTTATTCTGTGTGGTGGAAGTGGAATGAAATTATTGCATTCCATTCTCCAATTACCCTGTTAGGCAATCTAGTAACATTTCAAAACTCATTTCTGTACTGATGTGTGTTTGATTTTAAGTGGCTGTAAAGTACATTTTTCTGCACTTATTTTCTATTTTGTAGATATGTATGTAGTTCTAAATATTAAGCCAAACTGCAGATGTTTTAAATGGTTTTAATTGAAAGAACAATTTCAAAATAACATTCCTTGATTAGGTAAATTATGAAATGTATAGTACATACAGAGGTATTTTAGACAGTTTTTGATGTATCTATTAAAATTTTCTTCCACAGGGGGTAGACCAATTTCTGAAAGCCTTGCAACTGTGAAGATCCCATGTATTTTTATACCTCCAGAGAATCGATTTACATACCTTTGGAAAATGTTAATTCCAGACCAGGTGGGCAACTGAACCTCACCTTGTGCAGGAGAATGATATATTCAGTACTTTTACCAGCTGCTTCAACAATCTCATACAAACTCCTGGTTTAATTCTTTTCTTTGCTATCATAATACAAATGAGATCTCTACAGTTTTTCTTTGACAGTCAGATGGCACAAGAGCTTGTGTGCCCCACTACTTTGTAGAGCTCCAATTTTCCTTCATTTGTTTAAAGTAAGCAATACGTTCTGTAATGTATTTTAGAAGGTAACCTTTTTTGTTCTTACTTGAGTAAATAAATGCAAAGTAATGCACATTAGAAAACATAATCCCAACTATACATACAAATTATAGGCTCTAAATTAGCTGCTACCACTCAACAAAGAGATCTTGGAGTCATTGTGGATAGTGCTCTGAAAACATCTGCTCAATGTGCAGCAGCAGTCAGAAAAAGTGAACAGAATGTGTGGAACCATTAGGAAAAGGATAGATAATAAAACAGAAAATATCATAGTACAAGTATAGAAATCCATGATACGCCCACACCTTGTATACTGCGTGCAGTTCTGGGCACCCATCTCAAAAAAGATATATTAGAAGCAGAGAAAGTACAGAGAAGGGCAACAGAAATTATTAAGGGTATGGAACAGCTTCCATATGAGGAGAGATTAAAAAGACTGGAACTTCTCAGTTTGGAAAAGAAATGACTAAGAGGGGATATCATAGAGGTCAATAAAATCTCGACTGTTGTGGAGAAAGTGGATAAAGAAGTGTTATTTATGCCTTCACATAACATGAGAACCAGGAGTCACCCAATGAAATTAATAGGCAGCAGGTTTAAAACAAACACATAGTGCACAGTCAACCTGTGGAACTTGTTGCCAGGGGGTGTTGTAAAGATCAGAACTGTAATGGGGGTCAAAAAAGAATTAGATAAGTTCATGAAGGATAGATGCTTCAATAGCTAATACCCATGATGGTCAGGGATGCAACCCCATGCTCTGAGTGTCCCTAGCCTCTAATTGCCAGAAGCTGGGAGTGGAGGACGGGATGGATCCTTCGTTAATTGTCCTGTTCTGTTCATTGGCATTGGCCACTGTCAGAAGACAGGTTACCGGTCTAGATGGACTATTGGCCTGACCCAGTATGGCCATTCTTATGTTCTTAGAACTTGGGTTGTCAACCTGGAGGATGTGAACAAGTGTCAGTGGGACATAACCACACTGCCCTACTTCTTTGGTGAATAGGAGAGGTGTCCTGCCTAGATGTGATGGGGTTTTGGATAGTGAGGGAGGGACCCTGGTATGGAACTGATTGAGAAGTGCTCGAGTAGAATAACCAGTTTTCTATGTGACTTTGATATAGAGCATTTCCCCCTTATAAAGCTATTTGAAAAAAAAATCAATTTTGTCTTTTTTTTTTAATATGGATAGCAATCACTGATTCTTCCTAATGATTCGGCTATTCTGGAGGTACACAGGGATACCCATCCAGTAGCTTTCCAGTGTGACACAAAAGAAAATAATGAGCTAGTTGCCTCTGTAAAATATACAGTATATACAACAGCTGGTAAGTCCATAGTAGCTTTTAAACCTTTTACAAGATATTGCTTGTGTTTAATGAGTAGCTATAAGCCTTCATAGGACTGTACCTCACCTTAGTATCAGAGCAGGTGCTTACATACTATAATGATGAGTGCCATAGAAATGCTTATCAATAAAAGATGAATATAAAAGAAAACACGGCTATGGAAACTATGAGGTTTTGATGGTAGCAATAAGTAATTTCTTAAATTTATAGGCTAAAATAAATTATTTCTCTTTGTCCTGTTAATTTGTTACTAGGGCTTGGTCAATCTGCACAGATCACAGGTGTCTTCTCTCACTGCTAGCAAAAAAGCAGGAAAGGCAACCAGTTAAATGGAAGCAGCTCTACTCCAGTTGGTGGCACCTTGTTCTCTGCTTCTCAGCTCCCCTGTTAAATTCCCCAGTGCAGTGCAGAAGTAGGAAGGCAACCTTTTGAATTTTAACACATTAAGCTGCCATCTTGAATTTTATTATGCATGCTGGATTTAGAAAAGCTTAAAATTAAAAAGAAGATTTCATAAAATGGTTCATCTGCAACAGCTTTCTTCCCTCTTCTACTGCAGTTAATTTTTGCTTGCATTGTCAGGAGAGAAAACAGTGGTCCCGTTTGCCTTTCAGATTCTGAGAGGCCTGCTGGAGACTCCAGCCTTCCCAATCTGTAGAAAAGAGAAGGGACCTTATGTGGACAGAGTCCCTGCCTGAAAAAAATATGGATTCAGATGGACCTAGAGCCATGGAGGACTATTTTATTGAGGAGAATGAAAAGAGTCTGGTTTAAAAGTGTGCTGCCAGCAAGATTGAATTATCCAAATAAACACTGTAGAGGAGAAGGCATGGGACTGGAAACCTCTCGAAGTCCCTTATTTTTCTACTCTCCCATGGTTTCATGTCCATCTGAAGCAACATTTAATTCAGGAAGGAACTCTGCTTACATAGATAAGGTCTCTTCTCTTTTCTTCTGCAGAGTGTCCAGGAATTTGTTTTTGAATTCTTAAATCCATCTGGCTCCTGCAAAACTTCCAGAGCTCTGGCTTTGTCAGGTTATATTCTCTCTATCAGTATTCAAACTCTGAAATCTGTTTGTAGGAAGGAGTGGTTTCCTTTGACCCTGATCAACACAGCACTTAATCGTGTGTTTAGGTTTAAGCACTCAAGTAGTCCCATTGACTTGGAGTCATGCTTGAACTTAAACACGTGATTAAGTTGTTTACTGAATGAGGGCTAGGCTGAGGTCCATCCAGCAGAATGTCTCACAAGGATTACGAGTATCTATTCAGAAATTATTGGTTTGGCTATGCAATTATAAGACTCTCAGCAAAGCTTGTCTCCAAGATCTACTACCTCTGTTTCTTGGAGAAAAAGAATCCAGTTCCACTCTTCGGAAGACAATGGAAAAAGCCTGTGTCATGCTCAGTGCCAAACTGGTTTCCTCTAGATCTGCTCTAAAGCTATACAGACTGCCAGCGGATTTTCAGATGAGTGGCTTACTTCCCCTAATGTGCATGCAGACCTAAAAAACTGAAGGTGGAAGAGATCATCAGTAAAATAATTGATTGTGAGTTATACAGTTCTACGGAGACCTTTTTCTTGTGTGTCCAGATCTGCTGATGGTTGGCTTTCTGAGATCCAGCAAGATCAGGATTTCTTCATGTACCTCTCCAGGGGGATCAGAACTTTTGAAAGGTCCCTTTTGCTATTAAAAGCTGTAGAGATATGCCACAGGATTCCCTGTGTTTAAATGCAGTCATTCTTAGCTCTTCTCTGATAGTTTACAGAGCTCTGTTGCTCAGACTCTGGAGGGGGGGAATGTTACTTCACATCTTAGAATGCTAGCCCTCCCACTCCAAAGTTGAAAACATATTTTGCAGAGAGTTTAGGCATTACTTTACCAGACCCCTTGAACAAGAAGGTATCTCTGCCTATTCCAGAAAATCTAAACCTTTCTCCTCAGAGTGGATCCTTTCCTTTGCCATCTGTTAATCTCCAGTGAGGTAGAGCCTTAAAAGCAAATTTTTTGGAGGGGATGGGGAATGAGGAGGTACAAGGGGCAGAATTGGTCATTTTTCAAGGCCAGTTACAAGGCCAAACCCTTCTTTTCAGCATCCATATTTAACTATAAGGGTTTCAGACCAGAATGGAATTGGCACTAGGGGAAGGGTCTCAGGCTGATTTTGTCCCAGTGGATCAGTTTTACTTAGGATCACAGTGTACCTTGTTCGGTATCTCCTAGAGTTACTTCCTATGATTTCTCACCTTCCCTTCAAGGCATTTGAATCCATAGAATTTAAGTTTCTATGTAGTCTTCCTTGCTGTGGTAATGGCCTCTAGTAGGGTGATTTCAACACCTTCTGGATTGTTACCTTATATGCTGTTCCACAGATACAGGGTTCTTTGCACCTTCCCTAGTTTTCTTCCCACAATGCTTTTGCCTTTTCACATCAATCAAGATATTTTCTTGCCCAGTTTTTGTCAGCAATGTAAGACTAGGAAAGGGAACATTTGGCATACCCTATATCTACAGAGCACTCTTAAGGCTTGCGTTGAAAACAGAACCCTTTAGAAAGCTGACTTTCTTTGGGCCTGAGCCAATTCCCATTAAAATCAATGGGTGTCCTTGGTTCCCATAAACTTTAGAGGGCACTGGATTGGGCCCTTTGTTCTTTTCAAGGGCCCCAAGCAGGGATTGCCATTGCAAAGTAGATCAGGAATCATACAGAATACCAGAAGTGCCTTGTGTGGCTAGGATCAGAGCACAATCTACCCAGGTCGTCACCTTTTTTTAGGTAGAAGGAGGTGAAGCCTAAGTAGATGATCTGTGTCATGTGGCTTTCTGGTGATCTGTGCACACTTATCAGAAGCACTGCCAACTGAAGGGTCTGGTTTTGACCGACACAACTTTGTTCAGTGGGTACTCAGAGTGGCTTTTCCCCGAGAGGATCCAGATGTATTCTTGGAGAGAAGTGAATAGGATCATAATGGGTGTTTTCCAATTCCTTCCACTTCCTCTAGAGAAATGGAGAATGAGCTGCAAGGCTGGGGAAGGGGAGTGGAAATGCTTCAGCTTGGTTGGTTGGGTTTCCTTCTTGTTGCTGCCAGGGAAAGGAAAACCTTGTGCTGATCAACAGGTATAAAAAACAAAACGAACAGGTAAGAGGAAAACTTGTTTGTTCTGGCCTCACTCCCTCACTTCACTCTCTTTTCCCTCTTTTTGACTTGTATGCTTGTGTAATTTGAACATTACAGCCAAATTCTCAGCTAGTGTAAATAGGCATAGCTCTATTGGAAGACATAGAGAGAACACTGATTTACACCAGCTGAGAATTTGGCCCCATACAGGTATAAGAATTTTCTTGTTTAAAACATGCAGCATGATGTTTTCCACTTCAAATTTTAGGATATGTCTTCGGAAGGTGGAAGAAGTACTGTATACATTTTGCAAAAGTGCAGGAAGAGACCTGTAGGAGTTGTTCACACACATATTCCAAGTGGCTATGTGGAAGAACCTGGTGTAATGTAAAGCTGCCTATAGAGAGCTTTCATTTGCACTTACTCAGCAGATTACCATACTTCTCACATATCAGAGGGGTAGCCGTGTTAGTCTGAATCTGTAAAAAGCAACAGAGGGTCCTGTGGCACCTTTAAGACTAACAGAAGTATTGGGAGCATAAGCTTTCGTGGGGTGAGGTTCTTACCCACGAAAGCTTATGCTCCCAATACTTCTGTTAGTCTTAAAGGTGCCACAGGACCCTCTGTTGCTTTATACTTCTCACTGACCTTCTATTGAACAATAATAATGCTTTTTCACAATGAGCTGTCATCACAAATGGGCTTTTCTCCTTTATTTTCAACACAGTTCCAGACGGATTGGTGCTGTTCTTCTTTTGTAGCATCCTGGGGAAAGAAAACCATTACTTGTTTTTCCTTCAGTAAACATTATTATGTCCATTGCAAGAAAAAACCCATCCATTAATAGATGAATTTTCCATATGTCCCTCTTACCAAATCACTACCATGAGATACAGTAAAGCATTTTTTCATACTCCTTCCTGTTATGTTGTTAAGTTGCTTTTGAAGACTCCAGTGCCATAAGGCAGTTTATTCATGTTTTCTAATTATAGTTCTGTAGGGAGGGAGGATTTTGCGGGGGAAGGGGTGAAGATAGAGAATGATTCTCCTCATGGTGCCATGTGAAGGGAGCCAGTCTGCCAAGATCCAGACTGTGCCCCTTCTTCCATCACCCTAGTGAGTGTGTTTATTGGCACCAGCAGTGGAGGAGGTGGAGGCAGCAGCTTGTCAGGCATCAGAAATGGCACATCACCCACGTGGACAGTAGGTTGTGCTGAGGCACTTCTGTAGACCATTTCTCATGAGTTCAGTTCACTTCCTATTCAGGCAGAGGCTGCCTCTTTCTAACAGACTACTCTACAAAGGACATATTACATATTATGATTTTTTTTGCATTATATAGTAATGAAATAGGGAATCCCAGTGACCATATTTGGAATTCCTGGTCTTTGTGTGTGTGTGAGAGAGAGAGAAAGAGAGTCTGTTCCCACATCTGGACATGCACATGCATTTTTAATATGTGAAGAGTCTTGCAGATGATCCACAAGGGGAACAAAGATATGTGCACCAGTAGTACATACGTACAAAAAAGTCTGACTAGGGAGTAAAAAGTGCATTCCTATCTAATGTAACTTTCTCAAAACAAACAATGTATACTTAGAAAGCTGGGTCTGAAATTAAGTGAAAATAATGCATATATGCTGCTGAAGTGTGTAAACAAATGGTCAAGCATTCTGTTTATAGAGAGAATACTGTTTTATCATCTTCATCTACAACATCATGCTCTAGGAACAGCACCAACTCACTGAAAAAATTTTTGGGGAAAAAAGTGCCATGGCAGTTCTTAGAGTGATGTTCCTATGGGTGCTCCACTTGTAGGTGTGGCAGCCCCTCCTGCGCCTGGGATCAGAGATCTTC